GCTGTTTAATTTTTTTTTTTTTTTTTAAATCAAGTTTGTCCAGGCATTTTGACATTGCTGTATCTTGTCTGTTTTAACAAAAATCTTAAGAGTTCTGTTTCAGATATTCAAATATCCTATTGTAGTTAGTTTCTATTCTAATAAACAGGCAAAATTACATACATAGTTTAAAAAAATGCAAAACTTCACCTCATTTCATACTTTTGTATTTATTGTGTTTATTTTTAAAGTTCCAACTCCTTTACATATAACATCTCTACTGTTCTATACTTAAGAATGGTTTCTACAGGGAGATAAAATTTGACAGCTGTCACAGGTAAAGTAGGTTTATATTTTTTAGCAGTTGCTATTGCCGATCATAGAAATTTAAACTTGTTTAGCAAGAACAGAAATTTCATAAATGTATTCATGATTTTTATCTACAAATTTGTGTTCCAGAGTTTCTGTAGATGAATGATCAGACTTCCTGATATTTTATTAATCTATAGATTAAGTGTATAATTGAGCTTCTCTAACCACTTTCACATATAACCACGGATAAGTCAATTTCATGCCCATTGGTTACATTTCTGATTTATCCTGTCACTTCAGAGCCTGTTATGTAATGACACATATGCTATAGTTACTGCAATGTGCTTCATAATGCTGCAGGTCATCGACATCTTGTTTTTGTACTTATTATTATTTACTGATTGGTTGTAATCCTTGGCCCTGGTAAAAAAACAAAACAAAAAGACCCAACAATTTATTAAGCTCCTGACATAGACCAAGCATAAAATTTAAGAAAATTTAGAAATTTACTACTAGTCTGCAAATTAGAAATGTGCATCAGGAAAGAGAACCAGCTACAGTGATGAATAAGTGAAGGTCCCATTCTAAAGAAGAGTATAGAAGATGGTAACAAAAATCCTAATTCCTCAAGGATTTCTACCTGGAATTTATTGGTGGAATAAAGCTGTAGGGCAAAAATACTGGAGTGATTAAATTTAAATATCAAATAAAATTATAAAATGTAAAATGGGAAAGAGGAGGTAAAATGTTTGTTGCAACAACTCAGTGCAGTTTTGTGTGAAATCCTGCTCCTATTTCACTTAAAAAAAAATTTTTCCCTCTAAAATTAAACCTTTCCTCTGAGAACTTTAATGACTATAAAGAGTTTATGGCAGATTGTCACTCATTTGTAGAAGAGAGAAAGGAAGAGTAAAAATCCCTTGCTGGACCCTGCTCAGAGTGTACTTCCCACCACAGCCTGAGTCACAAGCAGCGGCTACTTCTTGCCTGACCCTTCCACTCCAGCCCCGTCCTGTGCAAGTGGGACGGGACTGGCTAGAGTTACTGGCTAGGTGCATAGCTGGGAGTGAGCTGCTCCATGAAACAAGTGAAGTAACTTCCTCCCTTCCCAGAGCAATGGGGGACCACAGGGGAGGGTTATTGACAGAATTCATTCTCTGGTCCTTTCGTGGGACATAACTACATGCTACTCCTCACAAAGGGCAGATTGTAACGTCAGACTCTTACTCTTAGTGAATTTGCAGGGTAAAACTATTGTAATTTTGGCTTTAAGTGAGGGTCAGATTTTGACAGGTACTGAAGACACTGAAGTTGGTGGGAGTTGAGGGAATTTGGCACCTCAGCAAGACACTGTAAGGTACTAAGTTAAATTAAACCCTTTGATGATGAACTAGATCCTTTCTCTAGTTCAGGGATTCTCAAACTGGGGGTCAGGACCCCTCGGGGTGGTGAAGTTATGACCTGGGGGGTCATGAGCTGTCAGCCTCCACCCCAAACCCTGCTTCACCTCCAGCATTTATAATAGTGTTAAATATGTTTTTAAAAGTGTTTTTAATTTATAAGGGGGGGTCGCACTCAGAGGCTTGCTGTGTGAAAGGGGTCACCACTACAGAAGTTTGAGAACCACTGCTCTACTTCATCATTAAAGGATATCATCAAGATTTCTAATCCTGAAAACTGACCTACCTTAAAATTGTTAGGGGCTTAGTCCTCCACATTTGAAACTTATTTCCTTGTCTGTTTTTATTTTAAATATACCATGTGTTGTTGGGAGGGGGTGAGGGTTATTTCATAGGGTAAGCTGAAGCATTTACCCTTTGTAAGTGGATATTGGTTATTTTGATGCCCATTACCTGTAGCTGCATTTGCTTTAGTAAATGAAGAATGTTTTCAGTGCTGGAGATGGTGCCAGCCTGACAGTCCTAGAGAGCAAGTCACAAAACAGTGGCAGTCCAGACAGGAGCTGGGCGAGCTGCTCCCAGTCTGCCTTGTCCAGTCCTGATGGTGGCTCTTCTCATGTGAGACCCCTGTCTAAAAGATCTCAGCTGAGACCGCCAGCTCATTCTGCTCTGAGTTCAGAGTAGGTACATAAACAGCCTGATGGTAATGACTCTCGGACACTACTGACCTGGGCTGGATTTGAACTGATGACTTAGAAGTGAAAGGCTCCATAGCCTATTACTGATTCCCAAGAGTTGCCAGTGTTACGTTAAAGTTCAGATTAAAAAAAAAAAGTATATGTAACACCTTGAATGTAAATGTTAAATCACACCACCTGTGGATGAGTTCCTCTGAAATTCCTAAGGTACCTCTGACTATTTCTAAACCTGTTGCAACTGGGGCAAACATACTAGATCAGGGGTCGGCAACCTTTCAGAAGTGGTGAGCTGAGTCTTCATTTATTCACTCTCATTTAAGGTTTCGCGTGCCCGTAATACATTTTAACGTTTTTAGAGGGTCCCTTTCTATGTCTATAATATATAACTAAACTATTGTTGTATGTAAAGTAAATAAGGTTTTCAAAATGATTAAGAAGCTTCATTTAAAATTAAATTAAACTGCAGAGCCCCCTAGACCAGTGGCTAGGACCTGGGCAGTGTGAATGCCACTGAAAATCAGCCACCTTTAGCACACGTGCCACAGGTTGCCTACCCCTGTACTAGATTGTATGCAGGGTCTTTGTTTTTTTCTGTCTGCAATAACACTTGTATCAGTCCTAATAGATGTTCTCAGACAGTCCCGATACACCGAGGAGATCATCCCTTAAGTCTTGGGCAGACCCTCTCCTCCACTTACCCTGAGTTTTTTTGCTTTAGAATAAAAGGTGAAAAAAGCCATTGTGGCAACCAGCGACAGCCAGCTGTATGCGTGTCCCCGAGAAATAGGAGAGAAGGTTGGAGACAGAGCAGAGGGAAGAGGTACCACAGCTGGTGTGAGAAGCAGGGGGAGGCTGCACTACAGGAGGAGAGGTGGGAGAGGGAAAGAGACAAGGCAGCTGTAGGGGAGTTCCTGGGGCAGAGTACACATCATCATGAAAGAAATCACCTGGGGTGGAAAGCAGAACAGCAGGAGAGGTGTGGTGGGGTGGGGGATGGGAAGAGAGCTGAATAAAGGAGCCTTGGTCAATAACCTGTGGTGCCTTTTTTTGTTGTTGTTTTTGTCTAATATTTAATTTGGGAGCAAACCCTTCAGACAACCAGCAAGGATCACCATATCTTGCTACAGTGAACTTTCCTGTGTGGATGTGCACCTGCGTGCTTTTTATAATGAAACTGAATGAAATTAGCAAATTGCAAGTGATGAAGAAAGCTTCTTGGAGCAGAGCCCCTGGATTTGTTTAACACCAAGATTGGGGGCCTCTAGGCACAATGCAATGCTGAGATTGGGCCCCACTGTGCTAGGTGCTGTCAGTCTAAACAGATAAAGGCAAAAAGTGAGAAGGGAGACAGAGGCAGTGTGAGGGGAGGTGATATGCCTAGGGTGGCCAGGAGCCTGGAAAGTCCGATTGAAAAGGGGACCTGGCAGTGTCCGGTCAGATCTACTGACCGGACACCTAAAGTCCGGTTACTGCGAGTGGGGTAGGCAGGGAGACTCCGGTCATCACCCCCGCTCCAGCCCCTACTGAGCCGGGGCTGCCTTCTACCTTCATCGGGTAGCTGCAGCTCCCAGCCCTGACTCTGCAGGCAAGTCCCTCCTGACCTGGGCCGGGAGGAGGTGGGAGGGGAAAAGCAGGGAGCGAGGGGGGGGGGGAGGGAGGAAGTGTGGATGGGGCGGGGCCTCAGCGGAAGGGGCGGGGCTTTGGGGGCGGAATAGGTGGGGTAGGAGTCCCAAGGTTACACAGCAAGTCAGTAGTAGATCTGGGAATGGAACCCATGTTTTCTGTATCCCAGTCCAGTGCCCTGTCAAGTAGACCGCTCTGCTTCCCTGGTAAATAATTAGAGATATGATCTTTGTAGTCACTGTTACTTCTGTTGCCAGGAGTTGGTGTGTGTGGCTGTATTGTTTGTGTGTAACTATACACTCTCTCTGCAAAACATTTGTATGACCAGTGGCATGGTATGCTGTAGGAATGTTTTTCTTCAGAAAAGAGAGCGAGCACTTTGAAGTACCATTGGAACTTTTGCATATTAAAAGTTAGGTTTTTACCGTTCACATTGCGATCTCTCCTGTGCTTCATTCTTTTAGATGAGTGAGTGATGTTATGTAACTTAAGTGGAGAATTGCCTTTTTATGCTCTAAAAATTATTGTTGGTTTGATAAAGCAGTTGACTAATTACTAAATTACCCACCATTGTTTAAAATACTTGCGCTGCAAAATGTAAATGAAAAAAATGTCTCCACGTGTCAGTATGAAAAATGACAATGGCAAAAATAATACATAGGACATCTGCTCTGATTTTTAAATTTTAAATTGCATTTAAGGCAGATGTTGCAGAATTTGAATGAAATAGGCATAGATGGGGGAAATATAGCTATTTACTTTTTATGAAGTCCCATTTTATGGTTAAATCCACTGTCAATATCTGAATTGATGCCTATATTTTTCCGTTGTTTGCAGCAGAACAAACGATGAATTAAAATGCCTTCTGTATTAAGAGGATGTACAGTATCAATATTTTAAAGAAGTTCTCATTGGAATTCTGGAACATGAGGAGTTAGGATGGAATATATGGAATATTTTACTGTCTTTTCTGCTCTGTTTTTTCCAGGAGAATACATAAAGACATGGAGGCCAAGGTATTTTCTGTTGAAGAACGATGGCACGTTCATTGGCTACAAAGAGCGGCCGCAGGATGTTGACCAACGGGAATCCCCTTTAAATAATTTCTCCGTAGCTCGTAAGCATTTTCACAGGCACTCTCATTCTTGCTGTATGGGTTTTACAGAATTATTGTAAGCATAGCCTTTATACACAATATCTTTCATGTTAAATCAAAATCAGCTCAAGACAAATTTTCTATGAAAACATAAAAAGTTTTCATTTTATGCAATATTAGATTTTGCAGTGTTAATCTGATTTGTAGCTTTGAAGTACAAATAATTAATGCAAAGTTGTGATTGCATTTACTTTATGTAATTCACTGTTATTTTTCAGTCTCTTTTCTATTTGAAATTACTAATTGTTGTTTATAGTTACAATACAAAATACTCTTTTACTATTTTTACCTTTCCTCTTCTTATATTTTGTACAGTAGGAAAAATAGCTAACTTTTAAGCCCTGATTCAGCAAGGTACTTAAACATTACTAATCCCGTTCAGTAGTATAAGATTAAGAATGTTGCAGAATCGGGGCTTTCAACCCTAAACTACATGTTTGCTGTTTGGATATGGTCCTAAGTGTGTTGAAATCAATGGGAGTCTTTCCATTTACTTCAATGGGCATGGGATCAGGCCCTGAAATTGATGGAACATGTTCAATTTTTTTTTTTTTTTTAATTTTAAAATCAAAATTGTGTGTCAGGGCACCAAGAGAATTTCTTGGCTCAGGGGATAATAGAAATTGGTCCTCTTCCTACTGCTGCCACACACAAGAACCCCCAATTATGCCTCTGATACTGCACTCAAGCACCCCAGCAAGGGGTGTGGCAGAAGAAACTGAATAGAATTCCCTTCTCCTGGACATTCTTTACCATGTTTGTAGAAATGTAGAATCATAGAATCCTAGAATATCAGGGTTGGAAGGGACCTCAGGAGGTCATCTAGTCCAACCCCCTGCTCAAAGCAGGACCAATTCCCAACTAAATCATCCCAGCCAGGGCTTTGTCAAGCCGGGCCTTAAAAACCTCCAAGGAAGGAGATTCCACCACCTCCCTAGGTAACGCATTCCAGTGCTTCACCACCCTCCTAGTGAAATAGTGTTTCCTAATATCCAACCTAGATCTCCCCCACTGCAACTTGAGACCATTGCTCCTTGTTCTGTCATCTGCCACCACTGAGAACAGCCGAGCTCCATCCTCTTTGGAACCCCCCCTTCAGGTAGTTGAAAGCAGCTATTAAATCCCCCCTCATTCTTCTCTTCTGGAGACTAAACAATCCCAGTTCCCTCAGCCTCTCCTCATAAGTCATGTGCTCCAGACCCCTAATCATTTTTGTTGCCCTCCGCTGGACTCTTTCCAATTTTTCCACATCCTTCTTGTAGTGTGGGGCCCAAAACTGGACACAGTACTCCAGATGAGGCCTCACCAATGTCGAATAAAGGGGAACGATCATGTCCCTCGATCTGCTGGCAATGCTCCTACTTATACAGCCCAAAATGCCGTTAGCCTTCTTGGCAACAAGAGCACACTGTTGACTCGTAGGGCTGGAAAGGCAGCATGAGAAGTCACCAAGTCCAGCCTCCTGTGCTGTGGCAGGGACAAGTAAACCTAGACTGTCTCTGACAGGTGTTTATCCAACCTGTTCTTAAAAATCTCCTATGGTAGGGATTCCACAACCTCCCTTAGAAGCCTATTCCAGAGCTTAACTACCCTTGTAGTTAGAAAGTTTTTCCTAATATCTAACCTAAATCTCCCTTACTGCAGATTAAACCCATTACTTTTTGCACATCTTCAGTGGACAAGGAGAATAATTGATCACCATCCTCATTGTAAAAGCCCTGAACATATTTGAAGACTGTTATCAGGTCCCCCAACCCTCTAGCCTTCTTTTCTGAAACCTAAACACCCAGGATTTTTTAACCTTTCCTCGGGTCAGGTTTGCTAAACCTTTTTATCATTTTTGTTGCTTTCTTCTAGACTCTCTCCGATTTGTCCACATCTTTCCTAAGGTGTGGCCTCCAGAATTGGTCACAGCACTCCAACTGAGGCCTCACCAGTGCCAAGTAGAGCAAGACAATTATCTCCTGGGTCTTATATGCAATACTCCTGTTAATATACCCCAGAATTTTGGCCTTTTTTCACAGCTGCATCACATTCAGTTTGTGATGCACCATAATCCTCAGATGTTTCCGCAGTACTGCCATCCATCTTGTTATTCCCCATTTGATTTTTCCTTCCTAAGTGAAGTACTTTGCACTTGTCTTACTGAGTTTCATCCTGTTAAATTCAAACCAATTCTCCACTTTATCAAGATTGTTTTGAATTCTAATCCTGCCCTCCAAAGTGTGTGCAACCCCTCCCAGCGAGGTGTCATCTGCAGATTTTATAAGCATACGCTCAATTCCGTTATCCAAGTCATTTAATGAAAATGTTGAATAATACTGGACCCACGACTGACCCCTGTGGAACCCTACTAGAGTCACTCTCCCAGTTTGACAGTGACCCATTGGTAACTACTCTCTGAGGACAGTCTTTCAACTGGTGTGCACCCACCTTATAGTAATTTCATTTAGACCACATTTCCCTAGTTTCCCGGTCAAAGAAGGAAATTGGGATGGTTTGGCAGGATTTGTTCTTGACAAAGCCATGCTGGCTATTCCTTATCCTATTCCTATTCCTGTTATCCTCCAGGTGCTTACCAATTGGTTGTTTACTAATTTGTTTCAGTATCTTTCCCAGTATCAAAGTTAGACTGACTGGTCTATAATTCCCTGAGTCCTCCTTGTTGCTCTTTTTAAATATAGGTACTATGTTTGCCCTTCTCCAGTCATCTGGGACCTGACCTGTCCTCCAGGAGTTCTCAAAGATAATAGCTAATGGTTTTGAGATTGCTTCAGCTAGTTCCTTAAGTGCCCTATGATGAATTTCACCAGGCCCTGCCGACTTGAATACATCTAACTTATTTAAATATTCTTTAACCTGTTCTTCCCCTATTTTGGCTTCTGTTCCATCTTATTGTCTGCTATTCTTTCTCCATGTCTATCTTCCTCATGCCGATATGCAGTCCGCCCTTCATTTTACCTCACTCCCCACAGCTTTACAAATGGAATCATGCAGCATTTGTTATAAACAGTGGTCCATTGAGCGTCCCTGCCTGGTAGGCTGGGTAGTGAAGTTCTGCCTGAGGAGCAGCAGTGGGCATTGAGGGGGGAGCTTGCACATCTAGAAGGAGATAGATGCCTTTTAAAGATTAGGTACAAAAATGAATTTCCAATCAGATTTCCTCTAGGGCATCCTGAGGCCTATTAAAACACAAGAAGGTCTCGGGAATTATTGCTCTGTGCCATCCATTCGCATGGCAGCCCTGGTACCCATGTGTCCAACAGGTGTCTGGATACTTATTTTATTATATTTTAAGGTATGATGAGGCTGGGAATAAAAAACGAGCATGTTATCACAAGTTGCATCAGTCCAGAATGACAGGAGAGTGCGTTAGGAGGCCTTTTGTCTTGCCAAGCCAGTCCCAGGAGAGATTTGATTAGTATTTTCACCTCAGCAATGACAGAGCCTATAATGCTTCGCTCTTTATGCTGATTTCTCCTTACAGGTCAGCAAAGTAAAGAAAGCAGCAGAAAGCCATTAAATCCTAGGCTTTGTCTACACTGGCAATTGAACTTTTGTTGTTCAGAGGTGGTAAAAAAACATCCCCTCCCCCCCGAAAGACAAAAGTTTTGCCAATGAAAAGCACCGGTGTGAACAGCGCTTTGTCAGCAGAAGCTACCGCCATTCGCTGGGGGTGGAAGTTTTTTGTCAGTGGGAGAGCTCTCTCCTGCCGACAACCAGCGGCTACACTGCGTGTCTTTTAGTGGCATGGCTGTAGTGGCACAGCCGTTTGCTAAAAGGTGCGTAGTGTAGACAAAGCCCTAGACTGTCTTTTCAAGCACTTGATATGTACCCAGAAAATTTTAACACCTTCATTAAGTTGCTGCTAACCGTATTTTTATGGTAATTATTTAGGAAGGGTCAGTGCTAAGGTCTGAAAATGGTGAGCGTTGCCTTCTTTCTTTTGCTTTTCTTCCGTAACACATTCAGAAGGGGTTAACTTATTCCTTAGTTGAGAGTTCTGAGGATTTTTGGCAGATCAAGCCTGTTGGTCTAGGCATTTATAACAAGTTCGTTGTCATGGTATCAGAGCATCTTACAGACAGACACAGGTCCACCATTGGGTGTAGCATCCTGGCTAGATAAGGGAGGTGGAGGAAAGGTGTTCTTAGCAGCTGCTGGTATTTGGAAATACAGTGGCAATGAAGAGTCCAAGGGTACGTCTATGAGGGATCGATTTATTGCGTGTAGTGTAGACGCGATAAATCGATCCCCGATCGCTCTCCAGTTGACTGCTGAACTCCAGCAGTGCGAGAGGTGGAAGCAAAGTCGACGGGGGTGCCGCGGCCGTCGATCCAGTGCCACGAGGACGCGAAGTAAGTAATTTTAATTCGATCTAAGATACGTCGACTTCAGCTACGCTATTCTCGTAGCTGAAGTTGCGTATCTTAGATCGATTCCCCCTCCCCCCCAGTGTAGACAACGCCCAAGAGGATCCCAAAACTGCAAACTATTTTGATGATCAACGGGCAGAGTTCTTTGCTTGAGGTAGTGACTGTAGTTTGAGCTAGTTGTTGAAACTACCATGAACACATCACAACTGTCCTACTCTCTTTGCTGGCTTCAAATCAAGTTAATGGGCATGGTCTTTGTATTCATAGCGCTCCATGGCCTGGACCCAGGATACCTAAAAGACCATCTGAAGATCTGGGACAAAGACTATGGTTGACAACTACGCTCTTTTGGCCCAGTGGAACTCTTATTATTGAGAGTAAAGGTTGTCCGTGTGGGAGACAGAAACCTCACCCTTTCCGCTCCAAGTACAAGGCACACTTCTTTGATCTTGCTTTCTCTAATACAAACACATAGCAACAGGCATATTTATTTTGTAAAAAAACCCTACCAAAATAAAACACACGTCTGCACATGTTTCTCCTTCTGGGGAGAGAGTGAGAGAACAAACACGTGACCAATGTGTA